ACCATAGAGACACTCTGGCACTAGGTTCACTTAACAGCGTTATATTTCGTTCATATTATAACTCAGAATCCACAAAATTTATATCATTTGAAGAATTATCTAATTGTTGCCCGTATTCAAATAGTATAATAAATCTAGAACGATGTATGAAAGAAATTAAGCAAACAAGACAAAAAAGAAACAGTTTTTCACGGACGATTTAGTATTTCTCATTCAATTAATTCAGTTCTCACTTCGCGACAAGGTAAAAATACATAAAAACTCAAAATATCGTTATTAAAATTTACGAAGTAAATCTTAAACACTTATTTCCTCGAAAATTTTCCAGAAAGGATTAAGCATGATTTAATTCGCAATAATAAATGAAGTCGTTATCTTTGTTATTGCGAAGCTTAGTCTCTCTAGATTGGCAACAAATCTACTGTTCTGCTGTTTCACATGGAAACAAATATGTGCGCCATGTTATTTAAAAATTAGGCTTAACCGCACTTAAACAGCTTTTAAATTGTTAATAATTAATTGATTGCCTGCAAATTTACTAAAGGCATAAAAGCCTTAACCGGAAGATTAGAACAACATAACTCCATCATTTTTAAAGCAAAAAAATGCACAATTTACAAACATATAAGAGTGAAGCAATTGAGATCACTGAGCCGGGTAACAGAGTGGATATTAAATATATTTTGTATATGTTTGGTGTGGCCGATTGCAACCGAAATACGAGGTGCACATCTACATATTATAGCAGTCCTATATACAAAATTTCAACGTTCTGAGGTTACTCGTTTTTGAGTTATGCGAGATACGTACACACGTACGATTATGCGAGTTTTGAGTTATGCGAGATACGTACACACGCACAGATGCCACGAAAAATTCTCTTCAGAATTCATTTTAAAGCTGTTTTATAATTTGTTTGGAGAAGAAGAGTGTTTTATTCTGTCCTTAAGTACAGATGTCATGCAAAAACATCGTTAAATTGCATTCGATAGCGGTCAAAATAGATATTTTGTTGAAATATGCTGCCCGAAACTTTTCGCGATTACTATACTTATTGCTTTGCATTTGATGGTTTGTTCTTGGTTTTCGTGAAGTTCTTTTTTAACGATATGGAAATGTGAAGCATTCTGTACAAGAAGGTTAGATTTTTGTACTTTGCATATAATTTTTCAATGTGAGCGAAATATGTGTATCAGTGAGATGTTAATAGTGTTTTAATTGTTACTCATAATCAGGGCCGTAGCCTGAATTTTAATAAAGGCATGCTGCTGAACGCCAAATGTTTCAAAAGTAATATTAACAGATGAAAATTAGAATTACATATATTTGAAAGTTGAATATTGTTTTTGTGTATTAATATGTTGTTTTTAAGGTCTGATTTAGGAGTTTTTTTAAATTCATAATTGTGGTCCGCCAAATATAAAATTATATATGTCACTGAATTTCTAAGGGTTGACGACAGCTGCTTTAGATGTAGAGATCTTGGCAGCGACGCCTGCAGCTTGTGTTGTATCACCCAGCTATGCCAGTGAATATTCCGGCCTTAGCCGTTTTGTTAGCCTATATTAAAAATGTTCAATTAGATTATTGAGCCACCTTAAGTAGACCAAATTTGCGGCATCTCTGCTTATAATTTTTTAAATTAAAATTTTGATATATGCTATTTGACATACCGGAAACTGTTGGTGTTTGTCTGCAAGCTCAAGTTCTGCCGTCAGTTTAAATACAAGATTAAACAATAAGGTTATTTAAACATTTTTATAATATTTCAGATGGAACACTAACTCGTTAGCTTTCAGGGTTAGAAGAACTTTTGTTAATTCTACGCAACCTATAAATGCATAAAAGACCTACCCATGCTGAGATGAGTCCTGGATACTGAAAATGATTTCATGTTGTTAATTATTCCAAACTACAAAACCCTAGCCAAAAGAAAAACACACTGAAAGAATGTTCGGAATAAAACTGCTTAAATATGGGCTCTTGTGCTAGTTGAAGATAATGATTTAATATAAAAGATGTGCATGTTCGATGCCTTAAAAATAATAAATATTTTAACGAAGTATAAACTTATTTAATAAATATTTGATTGGGAAAACTTTTACTTCAGTATTATATCATAAAAATAAATTAAATAACGAGATAATATTTCTTTGCGTCTAATTTCACCCGAAAATAGAGAATTATGCTTTCAAAACTTTACAAACTTATCCCGATCTTCCGTAATAAGTAGTCGCATGTAGTATTCTTCATTAAGAGATATCTTGCTTTTTATTTAGTACCTTCCATTCCCCATAAGCAAAAGAACAACTTGAATCTTTTAGGTTTTACACAATTATCCACCAGACGTAAAAAACGAAAGAAAGAAAATGAATATTTTAGTAAAAAATTACCTCTAGAACAGACCAAAAAAGTGCATTTCAGGAGTCTCAATGCAGTTTCTGCTTTTCTTTGGAAGAATTAGCTTAATTACGTAACATCCATTCAAAAACTAGGAAACTTATAAAGAAAAAATTCGAGAATGAGAAATCTTTCCGAAAACAGATCTTAGTTTTTATCCTTTTCCCATTCCGTTAAAATTTCACGAGAATGAAATATTGCTTCCATCGATTCGTTTTCTGCATTTCCTTCCCGCTTTCTCGTTCTGTGTGATGAATACTTTTTTCAATCATCCTCCTTTGCATTATAAAAAGCAAATGAGGAAATTCGTGGGAAGTGATATATGAAGAACAAAACAGTAGTCGGGTATGAAAGCGATGACGAATATAAATGAAGAATGTTCTCCTTTACAATTTTTTAGGTTGACTTTGTCTGTCTAATGATGTAAATAAATAAAAAATTATGGTTTACAATTTACACCTCCAGTACCGATAATGAGAATATGTTCTTTCAACATTCTTTTTTTCGTCTTGGAGAAGCAGATAAATAGAACAGCATGTTCTATTTATCTGCTTCTTCACGAAAATTTAACGTTTACTTCTCTTTCATAGCACATTTTAAATTTTAGTAAATACATTTCGGAAATAAGCTTGTAAGCTACTTTCTCTTTGCTTCCACTATGCCTTCGTGGTGTAGCGGTAGCACACTTGGTGCATACTCGAGAAGTGCAGGTTCGAGTCCCGATAAGAGCACTGCAAATTTTTCACGTTTCTTGCTTCACAAAAATTCTAAAGTCTCTACAATGGAGTCCGGACAGGATTTGTAGATTCGGTCTTCTAAGAACTAGACGCTTTTATTCGTATTGGTTTACCCAAAATTTAAGTATCCTTGAGAATATTTCTCTGATTTCATTTTCGGATACACATTAGTTTGTTATTTTTTCACTATCGTTTAATGCTCATTAACTCCCGCTTAAAAATTTATCCATGATTCTCTATAAATGTACTGTTGTGATTGTTTAATTACCGTAAACTGCAATTAACACGCAGTTAAAACATACACGTTTATAATAGATTCGATAATGGTAGAAGGTTTGAGTCGATTGAAACTGGCTGGGCAGCATTTATACAGGTTCGCAATGCGGTCACGCAAATGTCCCAGAATATTCGAAACCAAGTCAGAATATTCGAGGCCTTTTTCCAAAAATACCAGAATGTTCGATATGGTGGATGTAAGACAGAAAGGACTAAAGAAACATGGATTCTCTCAATGTAGAAAATCGTTGTATCCAAGTATTAATATATTTACTTATTCTTGGTTATCTGTAAGGTTTGTAATTAAGGTAGTAGTACAGATTTAGCTTCGAAAAACTCAATATACATTATTATTGTATACGGGGCGGAACGATGAAAATCATTACTGAAAATTGGGTCGCAAATCTGAAAGGCTGTAATTTGTTGTCTATAAAGTTAAATTTGAAGTCCTCGTGAGTTATTTAGTCATCTTTTACAAACCATAGTTTTGTATTTTATTATCAAGTGTTAATATCAAATTATTTTAACATTAGTTTTGAATGTAAATTCCGAAATCCATATTTGAAAGTTTTATTAACTGAGACGTTAAATGGTTCTAAGATTCAAAGATGTCCCAAGAAGTCACAGGTTGTTCATCCTTCTTCGAGAATCTTCCTAACTTTTTTATTTAAATGTTTCTCATTTAATTTATCCAGTCTTATACTTCCCATGTGAAGAACACTCGGATATTATACTTTTTCAGAAACGTCAGACAAATAAAGAGGGCGAAAAATATACAACATAGAAGAATACACGCGAAAGTATGGTCATTAAAATTCCATCGCTGAATATTAATTTTGAAAATGAAATGAAAGAAATATATTCAAGAACTAAGATTAAACATGATTACAGTATTTCCCGCTGATTTAATGGTCCACGATGAAAGGTTTCGATTATAGTTTAGAAGCCTGAGACTTATTTTCCTAAGCAAAATTTAAATTCATGCTGTAGTTAAAGGCGTATAATGATGTTCATTTATTTTGCATATACTTCATTGTCTAAGATATTTGTTTTCTAATTAATTAATGTCTCATTTACAGATTTTTGTATTAAACATTATGGGATGACGTTTTCAAACTGACTGTGGGAATTATTCAGAGTACGTATTTAGAGAAAATTCTGGACAGAAAAACTTCCAATTTTCATGAAATTCAACTACTTTTAAACGATAAATAAAGCAATTTTTCTTATCTTTTAAGAACTAATACCAGTATTTTTGTTACTACCGTCAAGATTTTTTTTTTAAATTTGATACTTATTTATACTATCTCTATACTTTCAATAACTCGGTTTTAAGGAATTATCAGTGTGATTTTTAGTATCATCAATATGATTTCATATTTCTGAATTTTCGTTTAGCCTTTTCTTGACCATGAAAAAAATGCTTTCAAACATTTTGAATGCAAAAGAGCTATTTTACAATTTATTTTAAATTTTACTTTGTGTACTTGTGTCAGTTTCCTCCATGAAAACATAAGAACATATGGGCTTTCAGAGAAAATATATCATCACAATACATTTAATGAGGAAAGGTTTTCACACTCTTACCTATAACCTTTAACGTTATCACCGTATTTACAGTCCTCGCCTTCCGAAAGTCCACCCGGCATCTGTACTCCCCTGCGTCCTCTTCTTGCACTGGATCTAGCTGTAGGAAAGCTGGTCTATTGATCATGTTGAAGTAGGCTCTGTTCTCTAAGTGAGTACTAGCGGATTGTCGAGCTTGCTCTACAGTTCCCCTGCGAGCATCTAAAGTGTAGATAGGGGCAGGATCTTCCCCTTTGTACCATAAGATTAAGACCACGGAATCGTCCGCAGATGGAGGAGATATGTCGCACGGTAAGGCTACCTTACCACGAACCACGGCTGTATATAAGATGGTAGCTGTGAAAGAGAAAAAGAGAAAATGTCATTATTGTTGTTCTTTTTTAACTAGAAACACTGATACAACAACGCGAAATGAAGAAAAATAATATATCGAAATTAAAGGAGAAATGATTTTTATTTAAATAATATAGAATTGTAAAGCTTATTGAAGTATCTAACGGGCTGGCTGCATGGGCGTTTTCGTGGTTTTCCCCGTGTGTAACGTATATACGAGCCAGTTTCCCTTAGAAAGTCCACCACGAAGGCATCCCTCCCCTTAGGCAGACATCCCTCGACGCTTTTCCATAATCACACACACTACATTTTCAGAAAGTGTTAAATTAATCTACATAATGTTATTCAGTATGGGAATTAATTGACAATATTCGATAATTACATAGAATGGTAATACAGTTACCATATTTTCGGGTATATAGCGCGCACCGGTATATAACTCGCATCTATAATTTCGAGCTACATTTCTTTTTTATAAATTTTAGGTATATTCGCCGTATAGCTCGCCCCCAATTCTTCACGAAGAAACCCAAAATATACACGTGTAATGCTCTTATCTTTTGAGATCACTTAGTCGAATATTTGTCCTAATCTTTCGAACAACGGTAAACCGCACTGACAAAACGATAAGGAGAACAATTTGTGTGTAGGTTAAATGCTTGAGGGAGTAAATATTCCGGAAAAGAGGGTGGATTTTATTCAGTGAAAGAGTAGAAAAGAATGTTATTGTATATCATTTCCAATTTGAGTGAATTCGTGGATTTAGGAGTTAGGTGTTTTCGCTTTCTGTAGTCATTTGAAGCAATGAATTTGAAGTGAAAATCGAAGGATTTAGTAAATCGCGTTTATATTAGATTGAAATACAGTTGATCTAGTGTTCCTTTTAGTAGTACATATGGCTCCCGCGAAAAGAATCAAACTCAGTGCAGGTTTCAAACGCAAAGCCGTTCATTTTGCGAAAGAAAATGGAAACCATGCTGTAGAAATGATGTTTGTGAATGATGGAACGAAAATTGATTATTTGTTTATGGATCAAAATAACAATCATGGTGAAGATGAAACGAAATTCGATAATACGCCTGAAGATAAAACGGAAGACGAATATGACGAACTCTTCATATTATTCGATAATGAAAATGTATAATTCCACACGGTATGTCATTTCTCTTCAGTAAGCAACATTTTGGTGCATGTAAAATTTTTTCTTCCTTTTTTAGCTATCATTTTTATATCCGGCATATCTGTAAATTTCGGTCCTATTTTTTGTATTAAAAGTGTGCGTTATATACCGGAATATATAGTACGTACTCATATAGGCCTAATGTTTCTTGTTTCTTTCGTGACTTAATATCAAGCGTTCATTTTAGTAAAATTTGAATAAGTAAACACTGCGATGTTATGTTAATTATTTTTTCCGTGGATTATTTTATTACTGTTATTCATTGCTATTGTTATTGCTATTATTATTATCATTGTTGATGTTTTTGTTATTATTGTTATTGCTGCTGTTATTTTACGTACTGGTTTACGAAAATAAAATAATTTTTCAGTCTTGCTAGGCAATCTGTATTGAAGAGAAAAAGAATAAGAACAAAAAATAAAATTTCTTGACTTTCATTAAGGATAACAAGCACTTACAAGTGTCGAAGGAAAGATAATAATTATTTAAAGAAAACGTAATCCTGAATTTATTTGGAAATTTTGAATACCTAGACGGGCTGCTGTTCTATTAATTCTAGATATTATTATTTCTGTTGTATATTAAGCTTTTATGCTACACAATATTAGCAAGTGAAGACGTTATAAACTTGGTTCCATGTAACTAACTAATGTATTTCTTCTTTGGTTAATATATTAAAATTTAAACATTTTCCTTTTCAGATTTTAGAATTAATTTATACAGTTTGCATGATAGTTCTTTAAAATTCTATAAATCGATATTAGTAACGTTTACAGCACATATTTTAAATAGAATAACAATTTTACCGATCGTTTCAAGAAGTTGAAGTATTAAATATAAATCAAGAACCATCCATGGATCCATGGATCCATGGATTAATATTTTCGGAGTACGTAGGGCAAAGGACCTTCTACCTCCACATCATAAAAAAAAACAGCGAGCAAAATTGAAAAAGGATACACAAAATTCTTTAAGGAAAATAAATAAAAGGAAGTCAACTAACTTAAGAAAGTTTGACATTACCTTGGAAAAAAATTATGAATATTAAAAATTTGTAAAACATTTAGACACAGTAAACATTTAAACATTATTTAAATTTGTAAAACACAGATTAACGGTATTCGAACTTGGGACCATTCGGAGATAAATTTCACAAGCTAAGCAATGAGCTAGGGAGAGAACAGGTACCTTCCTATTTCCTATTTTATTTATTTTTTCTTGGCGTTTTATAACTTTTTAAAACATAAATATAACTCAAAAGATAAAAGCGTAGGAAAGCGATTAAGATTAATAGACTCCTAGGTTACATGAATACTTAATCATAATTTAACAATACATAATAATTTCTCGATGAAATATGCTAGGCAAAATTTAATCTGCGGGAATTGATAAATGAAGACTACATTAATACTGATGTTAACAGACACGAATACTACTTCGAACTACCTATTACGTGACAACAAATAAATTTCAATTTTGACAACAAATAAATGTTGTTGAATAAAACGAATCAATTAATAAAAACGAATCAATTAATTATTTCTTACTGTAAGATTACCGTTATCAAACGTACCATTAGCAAATTACTTTAGACTAACTTGTTTATCTAATTTGGGTAAATAAATTTATGTAGGTATTTTTGTTTTTGATTGATCAAGATTAAGTCTCAGTCAGATTTCACTGAATAATTAGGTTTCATTTTCACTCTGATCTCTTCAACGTGTAACATGAGGTAATATATGAATGCGCTGCACCCCTCCTGGCCGATAATAGTCGGCTTCGTGGTTAGCGCAGCATCCAAACGCAGACAAACAAAAATACAGTTAAAAGATTAAAGCAAAAAAAAAATTAAAACACAGATTAAAACAAAAGCACAGTTAAAACATCGAACCAAAATTCCCAGTATTGCTCTATTGCCATTTATAAGTTCAGCATATCCTTTGCAAATCTGAACTCGTGTTTGCTTTACAATATACAATAATTGTAACGTTTTGCTTTACAATATACAATAATTGTAACGTGTTTGCTTTACAATATACAATAATTGCAACGTGTTTGCTTTACAATATACAATAATGTACGTGTTTGCTTTACAATATACAATAATTGTAACGTATTTGCTTTACAATATACAATAATTGCAAAGCTTTTGCTTTACAGTATATTTATTGCAACTCTTTTCAAAGTGTTTTAAACAGCGCTTTTTTCTGTTCTAAACATAATTATATTTTTATAAATAAATCATTCATCGATATGAATTTATTCTTTGTAAGACTAACATTAAAACCATGCTAATTTCGAATAAAATACATTTTCAGTTATTTTATTGACTTCAAATATTCTTATCTATACCTATCAAAATGATTTAAATTATGATTTCAGTACAACAATAAATATTCAGCTCTCAGAATAAAAAGCAGTCACTATTAAAAGAATTTATTTCATAGTCACATATTTATTTCCTTATCATTAAAACATTCTTTTATGTTGCCATCGAGTTAACCTTTCATCATTTTGTTAACCAGGCTGAAAAGAAGCACAAATAAAAACTCAAGGGGAACTGCACGAAAAGTATGGAATAAAATTTTAAAATAAAATTAGAATATGAATCCTTGTTGATATAGATAATGATACCATTATGAGTCTTCCAGTTTTTTTCAAAAGTATATTAGTTTTCTCAAGCTTCCTACATACAATGGAATTTGTATTTAACTCTAAAAATGATACCTGGTATTTGAAGTTATAATACCATTTGGAATGTATTACTACTTCAAATGTAATCTCCAGTAAAGCTCTCGTAATTAACTTCGTCTTAACTGAAGATTCTTTAACTCTGCATTTTTTTACTGCATTTCTTTTAATCAATTATTTTTCTTCAGCTGGAACTTAATTTAGTCGCTTTAAGATTTCTTTTTATGCGACCAATTTTTCTTACGAAGCATTTAACAACGTGATTCCTTTAGGCACTTTCTTTATTTACAATGCATTTGCCTAAGGAGAAATACATTTGACAACGCAATCTTGATATATAAAGCCTCCAAACACTTCTTTTTACTCATATTGTCACTTTTTATCTCATTTCTTCACTCTGCAGTATTAACATGTGTCTTAGATAATTTGAACAAATGCTACATGCTAAATCCTCATGACACCAAGAGGAAGTTATTTCTTGGTTTTTATGACTTCATAAAAGTATTCAATGCACAGTGTTGTTACATTTCCTTTAAGGCTGTTAATATGTTAATATTACTTAACACAATAGTTAGATACAGCAAAAAAAGGAACATTTGACGAAGTAAAATTTCATGTTAGTACTACATAGCAAGTTTGTGCATTCAACTATCTCCTAGCTCTGGCACAGCCTTTACTTCAGAGCTGAATTTTTGATTATTTTCGTATAATTGTTATAAATTATGATTCTAGTTTTTATATTTTATATCTAAAAGATGGAAATAAGACACGAAAATCTACCTTAGAAGTCTGTTATGTTTGAAATATTAAAAATAATATTTGATGGTTGCAACGCGTAATTGGATTTTAAATGCACTAATCTTAAATTCAAATTGTCCATACAAGGTTCATGTTTTCTTGTTTGATACCTTTCATTATCTATGCTGTTTCAAAAGAAATTCAAAATAAAGCTCTCATAATTACGTTCGTCTTAACTAAAGATACATTTTCACTTCCATTTTTGGGTCTGAATTTCTTTCACTCAGTTATTTTCCTTTAATAGGAACTCGGTTTAGCTAGAATTAGAGAAAAAAACTTAACTCAACGGTGCAACAGCCCTTCGTGAGCCATGGCCTGCAGCGCCATGATATCTGCTTTCTTGACCCTGGGCTCCGTGGTCCATGAGCATATACCCTAGACAAGTTGTCAGCTTGTCGCAAGATCCCCGGTATTTAGTCCCCAAGCGAACGTGGTATAAATTTTATCGACCCACTCAAAGCATGAAAGGCCATGCTCAGCCTAGCAACCTTGCCAAGCCTAGACAACTCAACCTTGCCCAGCCTAGGAATCGAAACCCGGAGCTTTGGCGCTGCTGCGCGACCACGCTAACCGCTGCACCACCGTGCCTCTTAGTTTGGGTTAGACCGTAAATTATTTTCAGTAAGCATGACCTTGGAAAATGCGTTTTGAATGTAAATCAATAAAACTTTAATGTTAGTCTTTTGCCTGTACCTTTCAATCGCTATTATGATTAGTAGAGGTTGCTTCAGTCCCGAAGAGGCGACTCGCTAATTATTTACAAGGTAAGGATGTTTGCGATTGTAGCTCTTATGTGTACTTATGCGTAATACTAATTTTAGGAACATTTAGAAGTCATGTAGCTCGGTATTCCCATTGAAAGAGTATTGGTTGGGTATAAATGGCTACTATGTCAAATGGAGGTCCATACTTTGGGGATGGGGCTGGAGCTGGACATTCGGATGGAGCTGGACAAAAGCCATATTTTCAATACTAGTGATTAAGATGTATGGCCAAAGAAATAAGTGCCCTTGCACTACGCATCACTGTTCACAAGCCTGACAGTTTAAGAACTGGATATAAAGCGGCTTACCTCATATTACTTAGTCATTGCCTAAATATAAGATAAAATCCTAATTATAAACTAAACTCGAAATTATATTTTAAGATTTTATTAATGTTATTCGCATTCAATAATAAATAAATACATTAATAAAACGTCAAAATATGTTTCCTTTTTTTTTCTTCTTTTTAAAAATTTTATTATGTTTAAATTCTGCAGTTAATACATTGTAATTGTACATACCTTTCTGCTTCACAATAGTTCCCAAAAGTAATTGTTTCAAAGGCCATTTTGTTGCAACGATCAACAAAGCTATATTAAAATATTTAGTTTTTAGGTTTCAACCGACTTCTTGAAACTATGTATGTTGATAATGAGTACTTAAAGACTTTACTATCATGTTCGCCATTCCTTCTACAGAGATAAAACGTGATTAAGTCTCTGATTAACTACTTGATGATTACGCGATGATGGCTTTCTGAAAGCAGAAAGAGCATTATCATTGTCTGTCTGAGAAAATGTTCCTACCTAGAAAGAGAGAAAGCATCAAAAGGATTACACCTTGGTATTTTGATATCTAATCTTGATAGAACTTTCCCAGAAGAATAATGAAAAAAGACCTTCCTTCTTAAGATTGATATAGATAATACTTTTCAAGAAGAAGAAATTAAGAACCCAACTGGCCATCCTCAGAACAACTCAAAACAGTATAATTCAAACAGAGGAATGTGTCTTTACAATGTAATAGTTTTTGAAAAATTAATGTTTTATCACTTCAGTAATTAATAAATCAACAGTGTGTTATGTAAAGAAGAGAGAAACAGTTGGTATGTGTTAAATAACATTTCAGCTCCTAGGTAATTACGTAGTATGAAAAACATACACACAGTAGTCGTTTGATTGAGCGTGATAATTGTACATTCAAATAACTGAATTTTCATATTTAAATACTTTTAAATTCATTCTTCTTCCAAAATGTCGCATGTAAACAAGCTGTGGATTGAAAGATATGTCTTTTCGCTTTTCGAAAAGAAATATTCCTATTTTATACTTCAAAAAATTTGCATCGCATTAAAATTCCCAGGTACAAAATAAGCAGCATTATTAATCGAAAAGGGAAAAACCATTAATCATGACTTCTACGTGAAAAGAAGATTCCAAACGAATATCCGGCAAAGGCGGGTATTATTTCTGATGCTGAAAACCTGCCGAAGCAGATATCAGTTACAAAGTCTTTAAACACATTTGTAACATCAATAAATAAAATAATAAACCAAGATTTGCAACTTAAAAAGCTAAAAAACGTGATGTTCACCATCTTTTGGAGAGGCATGTATCTTAACGCAGAGCAATTTGTAGTACCCTATATGAAAACCGTTTAGAGGGAGACAAACGAAGTGTATTGATGAAGCATGGGTTTACGTAAATGACTGCAATAGAAAAGGTCTATTTGTTACCAAAAACGAAGAGAAAAACATGTACAAACCTTGTTCTCTCAATGCAGAGCAAGTTTCAAAAGGGGTTAATGATTGTCGCATTCTCTTTCGGTGGAAAATTAAAATAAGAAAAGTAGAAAAAAATATTAAAATCAACTCAAAGTGCTGTCAACAGATAGTTTCTGATATTTATAAAAAATTCCCTTTCTTTATGAAAATGGCTTTTAGAGAGTGAAACTTCATCAGGACAAAGCAATATATCATACTTTGAGAAGTACCACTGCATTCCTTAAAAAATGGAGACTGATACAGGTATTGCATAAATACCTTTTCAACATATTCTTGCAAAGTCCTCTTATTGTGCTTTTGTCTCCTGAAAAGAGCTCAATCCTGAAAAAAGCTCTTCTGAGCTCAAGCTCATTACGATTGATGGACTTTGGAAAGCAGACTTATAGTTCAGTATGGAAGCTATCAGACTGTATATTTAAAAAAAATAGTCTTTGGTATTGGCATAAAATAATTAGTAGTTAACAAATATTCCTTATTGCTGACATTCTCAATTTTGTAACCTACAACTAATGCTATATTTTCTTTTTTTTCCCACACAGTAAACTTTTTTTTGGCATATCTGCATCAAATCTAAGCATTACTATATGACGTTGTGTGTTTATTTACATAACTTTTAGGGGCATCCGAAACATGGTTAACCAGTCGTTAGGAAATCGTTGTTGAGCCAAGTGAAGTTAGCAGAGAAAAGAGCCGTTGAATCATATTTCTCAGCATCTTGAAGACTTTTAATAATTAAAATGTTGAATTGTTTTTCTTTTCACTTGATAAGAATCTAAACAATTACTTTACACTTCATAAAAATATTAAACAAACGTTTTCCTAATAATTATGAGGACTGGTGTCGTCATTTAATTTAACTTTAAATCAATAATATTAAAGTGAGAGGAATTTAATTCATGACGTACATGTTCTCTAATTTGACTAAATATTGTAGCCTTGAGCAATGACTAAACTGTCCCTGCCGAAAATTTCTGCTGTATATTCAGGAATTGCTTTATAATTTGCAAACGTACACATCAGTTTCGAAAACTTTTAAATGCTGAGTAATTCACTAGAGAATGAATGTATGAATAATTTATGAAAGCATGGGGAATTTGGTGAAATGTAGATGCATACAAATTTATTATTCAGATTACTTTGGCATTCTCAAGTTAATGTTAATTAGAGTTACGTTTTTATAAACGAAGTTACGCAGTTTTTCTTTTTAAAGTTTTTCTTTTGTTTATTACACACATTAATAAACGGTAATGTCAGTGTGTGCAGCATTTTTAATGATTATTTGGGCTGAAAATGTATTACAATTTTAGTTTGAAACTCTCTTGACAAACGTATGCAAAATTTTAATTACGTCTTTTATGATCAAAATGTATTTAGGTTAGCAATTAGGAAGAAACTTAACTGCAGCTTTGTTAATAGATGTAGAATGAGGTAGGCGATCATAACTTTAGAAGAATTCGAAAAAAAAAAAAGAAAAAAAAAAAAAAAAAAAAAAAAAAAAAAAAAAAAAAAAAAATCTGAAATGTTTCAGATTTTAAATTACGTCCAAAGGGACGTTTTTTAACATTTTGTGTGTTACCTTTCTTTATTAAATATCAGGTTCCTCGCACTTAAACCATAAGATCCAGTGCAACAGCAATATCGCAAAATAGTTTTAAAACGAGCATATCTTTAGAATTTCCGATACAGAGACTCACGCGCTGGAGATAAAAATGTTTTTTCTGCACAACGTTGCCATTGCTCGCTTTGAAATCCTTGAGTTTGTTAATCAAAAATTCGTCAAAGTTTTAAAAAAAAGAAAATCGATCATAAAACAAATTTCAAATTTCAAATTTGGTCTTCCACATGCTCATATTCGTTGGAGGATTACGTTATTCAAAATTCGATGACTCTATGTACCGTTATTTTATGACAATGCGAGAAATATACATACATTTACGCAGATTTTTCATTATTTAATTTCTTCAAATATAATGCAGGACTCTAACATTTTATGGCAACAGTTTGAAAAGTGAACCGACATTTATGAGTCCGACGCAAAATGCCAAAACGAAACTAATAGTCCTTCGGGATTCAAATCCCTTTGGACTAAAAAAAAAAAAAAAAAAAAAAAAAAAAGAAAAGAAAAGAAAACTAAGGAAACAGTTCAAGTTCCGTATTATTTGTATCTTATTTTTTAAGAAGTTTGTAATCGAAGAATGAAAATGAATCAATTAAATGTAATCAATTAAATTAAATGTTAATTAAAAAAGGAAAAAGAGATATTTTCAGAGAAAGTCGTAGCAGTTGGTTTAAAAAATACACTGAAATCCATTAAATTTCTTCTATACCGTTAATTAATGATTAGTGATTGATAAAGACAATATGAAGCTTTTTTTAATTTTAGCGGTCAACAGTCGTCATAATTTTAAGGCAATGACGCAAATGCTCAGTGAAGATGCAATTTTTTTTTAATTATTTTTTTTTATTATTATTATGTCTTATGGCGTAGTAAGGACTATTAGGACATTTTTTAGCAAATGTTAAATTCACATACAAACAGCTTTAAAAATTGCTGCGTGCGTACATGTTTCACCGGACAGAATGCACACGAAACCGATGACAGCTTGCTAGAATTTATTTTCCCCAAAAAAACAATTTAAAAGTTTGGAACTTTGATAAATGTACTCTAAAATCTCTTCTTACTATAACAAAGCATAATCAATAGATACCACTTCAGGCAAGACTGTTAAACAGAACGCAATGTAAAAAGCAAAGATCGCACGGAGATCTAACTCGGAATTAAAAGATGAGAAACTGATGATTTCTAGTGTTTTATATAATTTTCCCCCGGCGCCGAGACATCTTTAGTATCTTCCATTTCTTGAAATTACTGGAAGGCATATACGTATAAGAGCAATACGTATAAAGTTACATATAAGAGCCGAATACGGTTATCTTTACGTATTTAATTATTGTACCAATTACAGTTATACAGGTACCAGACCAGAATGTCATTAAGTGGCAGCCATGTTTGACGACTTTTTGAGATTTCTCGCAAAATTTAGAAGCAAACATTAATCGCAAAAAACCATCGCTATCTAGGAAACGTCTCGCAAATTTAGCGAGATAATTTACTTCAATGTTAAACAGACTTGCCCTGTAATCTTATTTTTCCCGCAGAGCTTCGTCTGCAGATTTTTTATTTTACTTTATGCGATATTAGATGCTAAAACTTCACATATAATTTCATTAAAAGTTTAAAAAAATACAATTTTACATTTATAATAATAAATTTCTTCTCAGTTATTTTTGTTTATCAATTTACTTCCAGATATGCAATTAATTTTAGTAACAGATATATGAAATTATCGAGACAAGATAATAGTTTAAAATTTGATTAAAAATGGAGTACAAGCATACGAAATAATTTCTGTAT